GTCACACTCTTGCTGCCTCAGAATATGGCAAGAGCAAACCCCTTCTGAACAAATCTTTCAGGGGGAAAACCCATGATAGGATTACCACAGGTTGGAAACAACTTGAAGGCACACAACAATGCCGTGCTAGGTGTGCTCTGATGGCTGTGATGCCTAGCTATGACATTTCATCTGTAACCTTCATATGAAACTGAGTGTAGACATCATGGCCACAATAACTGGCCTAATTTTTGTATTGTTCAGCAAACCCCCACCTCCATGCATCCTGTTGAAGGATTCTGTAGCTCAAAAGCTTGTGCCCTCCATTTGTGGCATTTTGGTTGGTCCTGCTAAAGGTATTGCCCTATGTGCATTAGGAATCTTAGCTTGAGATATTGAATGTATTGACATTTTTAGCACCCCACTCAAAATGCTTCACAAATATCTGCCATGCTGAAATGAGGACTATATATATAAAAAAAGGCAAACAAACCTGTGAACAAAGGAGAGGGCTATTTCTGCTTTGTGTTTTACAATCATTATGCTACATGAGCTCTTAGACATTATGCTTTGTGAGCCAATGGATAAGATGAACCTCAATTCTATGCACAGGAGTTGGCTAGGCTTGGCAACTGAATATTACCTTAGCTTCAATAAAGGGATAGGTGCTTTCACAGTTGATAACAAGAGATCAGTTTAGTTGGTGCTAATGTTCATGGAAGGAAACTCCCACTGCTGCCTCGAAAACAGCTCCTCTCCCATATTTGCCTTAAATCTTCCTAATGGTAGGTCCAACTCTGGCTCATAAATGGAAAACTAGACAAGCTGTGAGCATTAGCATTTAGTTCCCTTTGAAGTGACTATCAATTTTGAAGAACCAGTGTAGCAAAGAATAATGAAGCATGCAGGAACAAGAGTCTCAGACAATAATAAAAAGGAAGCTGGATGCTATGGTTACTTACAAAAGACTGTTCAGAAGCAGATTCTTAAATTACATATTACAACACGCAGGAAGAAGGTGCAAAAGAAAACAGACCTACTGTAGTTGAAAGAAGATACAAGATGCCAAAAGAAACAAAACCACTGGTGAACTACACAGATCTGAAATTAAAGAAAAATGAGCTATTTGTAGTTTTTAGTCAGAGGAAGTGGTCTCTGTTATAAAAGATCTGTTCCTGTTCACTCCTTTCCGATCATCACCAACACAAAGCAGCATTACTGGTTGCAACTAGCCCAAATTCCCCTCTGCAAAAGCTCCTGAGGATTCATGCTGCACAGATTGTTGTGCCTCTTTTTCGGCAGATGCAACAGAAAATGTTGTAGGAAAAACAGGTCCTGCTGAAACAGAACATGGAGCGTGCAAGAGCCAATACTATTCCTACCTGTGCTAAGAATAGTCAACAAAACTGCTGTACAAACTAATATTCAATGGAGGAAAGGGGGCGGAAAGGGGAAAGAGGGAGAGAGAAAGATGAATGTCTCTGGAGGTCAGATGCAAAGTATGTGCAGATATGATTGGTCAGGCACACACTGTACATAGAAGACAGTGCTAACGTGTGGAAAATGCAACAATGGAAAAATACAGAAATATGGAAAGCGAGCTTGAAAGCCAGCCACTTTATTTTGGCACAAAAGGCAGCAATCTCACAAGCATCTATTCCCATTCCTGGCAGGGGGAAAAATATAACCTGAGGCAGGTACTGTAATCTGCCTAATGGTAGGGATGGTCTCCCTCCCTCAGCCCTGAAGCTTTCTGGTGGTTTCTCTTGGCTTTAGAGGATGAACTCATCTTGACCTCCAAATGCTCAAGCCTCTAAAGTGTCATCAGAAGACTAAAAAAGGGTAGGGAGGAGGAGTAAGCTCTCTTCCGTTGCTATCTTTAGACCCACAAGTGAACATGTCTCATTCAACAAACCATCAAAACTACCCAAGGTTTGTAGCTGTGTTTTTGTTTGTTGATGTGTGCCTTCAACTCATTTCTAACTTATGGTGACTCTTAGGCGAACCTATCATGGGGTTTTCTTGGCAAGAAAACTGTTTAGCAATTTAGTAAGTTTGTGCTGTTTAGCAATTGACAATTTTTTTAAAGCCATAGATCTTGCAAAATTTACTTTTTTGATATGCCTATGGGACCACAATTGCTCACTCTTGTTTTGATTCGTGATTCCTAGAGTTGAAAGACTCTTTTTTGTAGAATGTATGTGTATGATTGAATTTTGTACATAAAAAAATTAAAAGAAAAGAAAAGAAAGACTCCACAAGGGCCATTTAGTCCAAACACCTGCCATACAGGAATAGAGAATTAAAGCACACCTGAAAGACACCCATCCAACCTCTATTTAAAGCCTTCCCAAGGGGGGAAGTCCAGCACACTCCAAGGCAATCTATTTGACTGCTGAACAATTCTTACAGTAAGTTCTTCCTAATGTTTAGGTGGAATCTCTTTCCCTGTAATTTGAATCCATTGATTTAGGTTCTAGTTCTGGACTGGCAGAAAACAAACTTGCTTCTTTTTTTTACATAACATCTCTTCAGATATTTTAAGACAGCTATTATGTCACCTCTCATGCTTCTTTTCTCCAAGCTCAACATAATATCCCTTGCCTAAGAAAACCTATTAAATTGGGTTACCTTGAAGGACAATGCATACATAGAAATATATTCAGCTCCCTAAGTCGTTTCTTGTAGGATTAGTTTCCTCATGTTTTATCATCTTGGTTCTCCTACTCTGGACAAGTTCCAGCTTGTCAAGATCCTTCTTGAATTGTGGTGCCCAGAACTGGACGCAGGTTTCCAGGTGAGGTCTGACCAAAGCAGAACAAAGTGGCACAAATACTTCCCACAATCTGGATACTAGACCAGCCAAGTGCAATAGAAATGGAATCTGAATCCTGTTTAAGTCCTTCTGGCTTTGAGGATGAAAAGCGATGGGGTGGGGAATAACACATGAGTAAGATGTCATGTAAAGGTTTATCCATGCAGCAGTAGATCCTGTTCTATGTGTGAATGCAACAAGGGAGTGCACGTCTGCCCGGTTTGCTAAGCAGAACTGCAGCATTGTGGAGAGAAACTGTGCACCTGCAAAATATTTCTAACTTTGTTGGACTGCAAATAGTTAGCAGCATATAAGATCTGTGAGATAGGATTTAGTGGTCATACAAACTACACACATTCCTAACATTTACATTCCTTTTCCTTGAGCTCCTTGGCTAATTATACCCTGCTTATTTTTACAACTTAAGAGGGCAAACCAAAAACCACTATGTTTTGGTCAAATATAGCTGTGTAAGTATAATTCTCTTTTCCTATTGCTAAATTTGTTCTCTCTCTCTCTCTCTCTCTCTCTCTCTCTCTCACACACACACACACACATACATAATTTTTAAAAAAGAGTTGGGTTGATTTAGAAAAAGGCAGATTCAAAGACATGGCAAAGCAAATGTTACCATCCTTTCTTCATTCTTACTTTGTTTAATGAGTTAAGCGGGGGTGGGGGGAATCTATATTTAATTTGATGAATCCTTTTTGCTCCATCTGTTTGGCAAGCAGATATTTTCTCCTTTTTAAAACACACTTCCTCAAACCAGGAGTCTTGTCAATGAAAATGTCCCAAAGCGGCAACTTGAAATAGTTACTTGGCAAGCAGTAAGGTTTTTGTGGCTGCCAGAAAATTGCTAAAGTATAGAGCAGCAACACATGAGCTTTCAGATCCAGAATATATTTAGATAACAAAACAGTCAACATGATGCTTGCCTTAAGACATTTCAGGTGAGATCAAGCCTCTACTGTATTTCCAAATATACTGTAGTTTTGTTTTTAAAAATTGTGGCAGAGAAACAGCCGCAGAATTGTAGTTTAAAGTTTAAGACACTCTGTTTCAGCACTATAGTTTTCAAGAGTCCCAGGAGGTGGAGGAGCGATGAAAAAATAGCCTTGGATGCCACATGTGCCCACAGGTTAAGTGTTGCCCATTCTTGCCTTAAAAGTTGATTGATGCCACCTTTTATCCCAGTTTACAGCTTTCACTCATGTTTCACCATATGCTGAAACTATTTCAGCAAACACCAGTCCAAGTGCCTTTCAAACCATGTTTTAGAAAACTATTGTGAGTGGATAGACTTACCACTGAGAACTTGATTTCACTCTTGTGGCCACATTGTTGTGGTTCCTCCTCAACTCAGCATACTCAAGAATAGAGATGTGAAGACTCAGAAAAATTCAGAAAACCAGAAAATTTCAGAAAAGAATTTTCCCCATCAGCCTTTTTTCCCCTTGAAAAATTGAAAATGGGGAAAATGGATTATGGAATGTTTTCTTTTAGAATTATGAATGAAATGGCAGGGTAATCATATATTTAATCCTCAAATTTTATTTCTAAAACCTATTTAACACAAAGACTTATGGAAGACAATGTGCATTGACTGGTCTTGGTTTTCTTTTCTCAGTTCTTTTCACAGGAACAAATGCTTTATGCCTGCTTGGCACTAAGGAGAACTCAAAGTGAATATATATATTCCTGTGTTTTACTAATATTGATGGTCCCTTTTCTTGCTGTTTTTTAATTATTTTTTTGCCTGCTACTAATAAACTGACAACAATGAAGACAACCCTTACAGTTTAGGACTTGTAACTCCATCTGTAATAAAGCATTTAAAATGTACAAAAGAAATTCAATTTGTAATTATTGTCTGAATACACAGTATTTTTTTAATATACCATGCATATAATTTTATGCCAGAGAAAGTTGTACAGTTATTTAAAATTTTCCAAAGTCTCTGTTTCTTCCTAAACTAAAAACTGGAAAAAATATTATTCCATGGCTTCAAAAATGTACAGAAATTTTATGCGCTGTAAGCACAAGAAGATTCTACGGCAATGTCACCATCATTGTGCACCTTCAGGTTGACTCCAGCTGACAGAGAACCTAAGGCAAACCTATCTCAGGGTTTTCCTAGCAAGGCTGGTTCAGGGGGAATTTTCTAGTGCCATCTCTAGAAAACTCTCTGGTAACATAAGGTACATGGCCATGTGGGGATTTGAACCCTAGACATCCAGAGTCTTAGACCAACATCCAAAACACTATACCACACTGCCCGTATGCTCAAGGCTGGGTGCCTCATTCTGACCTCAGAGTGAGCGACTCTCACCAGTAGCGCCAGCACCAGATGACACAGTGGGACACATATGGAAATAGCCATCCAGCATCATAACAAAGTGCCCAGATAATGAGACAAAGTGCCCAGGTATTCTGGCCTGTGCAGACCTGGCCTAAGAAAACACTTCTTATTTTTCTCAGCTAAGGCCTGTTGACCACTTAAAACTCATGTCTGTCCTATAAATAACAGCATATTATTTAAATAACCATATTCTTTCTGTGGACCAAACAAATGCAGCTCACTGAAAACCTCTGTTCTCTGATTTCCTGTCTATGTAAATCCTAGCTACAGCCACTGATGAACTGAATATATATCCTCATAACATGTCTCAGCACCCTCTCTGGAATATACAAAGGTTGTCGCCCCCAGATTATGGAACGGTCTGCCGGATGAGATCCATCAATTGACATCTTTAGACAGCTTTAAAAAG